TAAAAAACTTCTTGCTAGAATTCAATAAAAAATATCAACAACAATAAACGGTAATAAGCCAAACTGCAAATTAAGATTTAAAAATACAACAAAAAATTTCTTCTTTAAAATTTTGATCAAATTTTTATAAAAAGCTAAAAAATGTCACAAAAAGTGAATCCGAATAAACCAAAACCTACAGTTATCGCTGTTTTTCAGCCACAACAATCTGCTTATAGTCTAAAAACAGTCAAAAAAAGAGTAAAGATTAATTTTACATTAATCTTAGATACAATTTAGCAAAGGTGTAATTTAATTTTTTGACAAGAAAAATTTGCTGCTGAAATAGCAAAAAAATTTGTTATTTATAAATAGGAAAAAACTTTATTTTTTCTGAAAACTAAAATAGCCCTATCAATTGATAAGACAGAAACTTTGGTGTCTTACACATCCACATCGTATTACAACTTCTCAGTCTAAGTTATCAGTTCCACTATCTCTGCTCTATCCAAAAAAAAAGCTTTCTAGAGAAAATATTATTCAAAAATTAGCTTTTCATAGGTTTTTTCAAATAAAGAACAGAAATTAAAATAAGAAAAAAAAATCAGTTTTGAAGGCATTTTTATAAAAAAAATCCCATTTACTACAACCAGGTCTTTAGATATTTGTTTGATACTTAATTGCTTTCCGATAGCTTTCAGTTGTACATTGAAAACAGACAAAAAAAAAAAAGAAATTTTCTTTTTTTCGAGAATTTTTTTTCTCTTTTGTACTAATTCTAAACGAGAGTAAACTATAAGAAGCAAAAACAAGAAGTTTTTATTACAAAAATATTACATTAACCATTCGACTTTGTAAAAAGAAAAGAAAAAAAAAAGACATGATATTTACCTTCATTTTTTTTTCCTTTTTGTTGTTTTAAAACTGTATGTTTAGGTTTTGTATAAACTTTCCACCAACTGTTACCGGTTGATCAATTTAACCGTTTACTATGTTCCAAATTTCAGACGTCACAAAATTATCATTAAAATTTTATGAAACAACTTTGACATACAAATCTGTAAATATGACAGCATATTTTGATTGTGTTCATTGTTGTTTTAGTAATCCAAAAATTGAAAACTGTAATAAACTGTAAAATGCCGTAAACTCTTGTCAAATTAGCATTTTTTTTTTTGATGGATTGGCAAATTTGCGGATGTTCAAAAAAAAAAAAAGCAGTTTTAACCGACAGTTCTATAAATGTGCATAATTTTGACAAATGATAACAAATTGAACGTTTTTGATTAGGCATCTAAAACAATTTAGGTGAAAAGACACCTTTTTTGCTGTTTCTTTTTTTTTTTGTAGTAGACTAATACAAAGCATAACCAAAACTGTGTATCTTCAAAGAAGGAAAAAAAGTACATCAGTATATTTCTTCAGTTTGTTTAACTCTTTTTTTTGTTTTTTTTTGTTTTCTGTTACCTTTACCTTGACAAGAACAACTGTTAAAGATCAGTCAAAAAGAAAAAAGACTAATAAAGGTAATGCTGAAGTGAAAATCAAATTTTTTCTCCTGTTGAGGTCGAAATCAACATATTTTGAGGTATCGATGAAGTTGCGAAGAAGAAAGATGGAAAAATAACAAACGGAATAATAAAATGTGCATAACAGAAAGACTTCTTCTCAGTTTTCTTCTCAATTTCATTTTTCTTCTATTCTTCTCATTTTTCTTTTTTTACTTCATTCACTTTTTTTTTTTT